ATAAGACTCAGGACTGGCCACCACTTGTGATTTATTTTGAATTGTGATTACATGCATTACTCAACAAAACCGGTTTTACAATTTTTTAAACGAATATCACTTCCAAAGGCAGATGTGAAAAAATATTAAACTTATGATAACTTATTCAGATATCTTGAGATGCGGTCGGGTGTGATGTAGGTTTCAGAAAAACATTTTCTTTATCGTATTGAGACTGTGACTCTCAACACGACACGCAAGGATGGCACAATTCCACAGAAGACAAACACTTTGAGCCCTGAAGATGATCTCAATAAAAGATCGAAACGTTGGCACGATAAAGTAAATGTTTTTCTGAAACCTACATCACACCCGACCGCATCTCAAGGTGTCTGAATAACTATCGATTAACGGTCACTAATCTCTGTCAAGATAGCTCAAGTGGTAGAGCAACGCAGCAGCTTAAGGATTTAGCCGAAGGTCGTGGGTTCGAATCCCGCACGTGACACTGACTTTTTATCTCAACCAAGACCTTACATGGAAAGAATAATTAACTGAAAGAAGTAAGTGTCACCAGCGGGATTCGAACCCACGACCTTGATACGCGTTTTATCTCAACTTAAAAAAACCCTTAATTAATTGGATGATATTAATTGGTCAAGCGGACCACGAAAAATAGTGAATCGAAAGAAGTAACTTGGACAATTGACCACAAAAACGTACATGGAGTAAATTATAAAATATTTTCTTTCTCATGGCTTCAAATTCCATAATTCGTACATGTTTATTGTATGAATTTTATGCTCGGTGCTATGGCGGCCGAGGCCGCTTGTAAAATCTGCACTGCGTTCGGTGATAAAACAATAAATGAACGCAGTGCACAAAAGTTTAAAAAAGGAGAAATAGTAAAGAATCTGAATTTAGGAGTGAGTGTGAAGGGAGACTACGATTACGGAGATGAAATGACCTAGCTGTTGATAACCCTTGGAGCCCAACCTCGGTGGATGGACGGAAGTCACCTCATTCTCATCCCGGACCCGTACACCCGGGTTGGGTGTTACTGTCCGCCGGTAATTTCTTGATAATTATAAAAGCTGGAATTACAGGTGGACTGTGAGAAATGGTCAACTAGTAATATGAGGGTCAGATAAAGGTTATTTAATTGTGGGATAACAATGAACATAGTAGGGCTGTAGGTTCTGTCTTTTATAGCAAAGTTAAAGTTGTATCGTTTTATATCATGTCTCACAACCTAAAATCTGAATTTAATGAGAAGAAAATTTTTAAACTGTTTACTCACATCAAAGTTAAATTGCTTAGTTTTTCCCATATGTTACGGAGATGTTTCACTTTTCTTTGCGGTTTGCGGCTATAGCTGTTGTGCTGGTGGGACAAATTCTCGGTCAATTTCTTTTCGAGGTGAATTCGGTGTCAAAGCTCTTGGAAAAATTAGACAAACTGCTGAGCTTTTGGGTCGAGGTGTTTTACGTTTTATTTTGACTTAAGGTGCTTAGTTAACGACTGGAAGGATCGACATCGCATAATTAAAACGATTCGTGTCGTGAGACCCTTTCATCATGAGAAGCTTCTTTTTCCCGTCCTCAACGAGGATGTTGTGCAACGTTGACACAATGGGGAATAAAAGCTGGGGTTTACTGGCCGTAGGGCCTACCGGAAAATTGGGATGGCGTTATGGCAATGGACGTCCGACGAAAATCCAGCGAGGATAAACGGACCGTAGATGATAACTTTTAACTAAAAGGATGTATTTTCTACATATCAAAATCAATGATGACAACAAAATATATAAAATTGTAAATCAGACGGGAGAGAGTTGAACAAATCAAAATATAATTGTCAGATCCGGCAGATTTCTAACACACTTGGATTTATGCTGAAGCAATTGGTAACAATTATAAACAAAATTGTCTAGAAACATTTACTGTCTTTGAGATAAATGACATCAGTTTTCCAAAATACTGAAGTGTTTTTTTATTGTATAAATGCTAATTGCCACGAAACAGAGTCACCTTGACTCGGTTCCTAAACGAATTAGCGCTCCGACCCATTTCTCGACGACCTTGCCTTGTGTTATGCTGAATCGGTCATTTACCCGGGTTACAGCTGTGGTCTACGAATCCAGGAAGACGGCCAGTCAGAACGGGATGGACGATGGGCCGGTATGGATGTGTCAGATGCCGGCTATCAAGGCTGGAGGGTTGTTTTGGTTGGATAATCGCCCTAAGCACGGCTAGCCTCAAAAATGACTGTCACGGGCACGAGTTCAATGTTTTATAACTAGCAAAATAATGGGAAATGTCACGGTTGCATTATATTAATAAAATAAACAATTAATAAAGAAACAAAAGAAAGTGAGGCCATAGTATTTCTAGAATAAACTTGCCCAGATATTTAACTTCCATGGTATTAAAAAGTTTAAACTAATCCAACCTAATCTTTTTCCTTTCGGGATTGTAATACAATAAAACAATGCCAGAAAAGGCCAGAAAAACGTTCAGCTTTTAAAGTCTACATACTATTTTGTCAATTTAACCTGATTTTTCAAAAATCTTCTAATATTCTTTTTCAACTCGAATCGAAAAAAATGGCAATTATAACAAAACTGAACTTTTTAATACGTTTTATAATTTTTCTTGGTATTCCGATTTCATTTCTTGTCGTCAGTTTGACCTAAATTTTCAAAAACCTTCTGTTATATTTTTTCGATATTCTTTTTTGACTACTACAAATTTAAAAAAATCTATAGTGTTTATGACAATGCTAGTGGCCAATTTCACCTGAACTTTCAAAAACCTTCTGGTTTTGTTTGTTTAACATAAAAATTGAAAAACAGAATCTACACTGATTGTGAAAAAATTGAGCTAGCACTTAGTGTCATCTTCTTTAATTGCACGGTTTGACAATATGACCTGATCCTACATAAAACCTCTATCTTTTTTTTTTAGCTCCTTAAAATTAAACCATGTGACAAGCAAAACTGAAATCTGTTGAATGTTGTTACTGGCGTTCTAATCGATGCAGTTTGACGTGATCCTTCAAAGATTTTCTTGTAATCATGTTAGCGTTTTCTATGGACTATGACAAAATTGTCGCTGGTTTTTAGTATATTTTTCAAATTATTATTGCTAGTGGCCAATTTTACCTGAACTATCAAAAACCTTCTGATATTCTTTTTTTAATATATAAATTGAGAAAAAAAATCTATACTGATTCTGACAAAATTGAGCTAGCTCTTTAGAGTCATCTTGTTTCTTTGCTCGTTGTTACAATATGATCTGATCATCCATAAAACCTCTGTTTTTTTTAATCCCTTAAAAAAAATCTGTAGTGACCAAACTGAACTCGTCGCTGTTTGAACGTTTTTACTAGTTTCCTAATCGTCTCAATTTGACGTGATCCTTCAAAAATTTTCTGTTATTCTTTTTATTTTTTATATTTTGTTATGACTGACAAAATTGAGCTTGTCACTGGGTTTGAGTATATTTTTTTCATTTCTTAATGGTTTTATATAACATTTCATCAATTGATCTGATCTTTCACAAATCTTCTAATATTTTATTTAACCTGAAAAATTAGATATAAACCCCTTTAGTAATTACGACAAATTTTAGTTAGTTACTGGTTTTTAACGGATATTTTATTTTTTGGTGGAAGAACATTTGCGAAAGAAAATAAAAGCTGGCAAAACTCAGAAATGGTCGATCTTATCAAAATTTTTCTTACAGCAAAATTAGCATAAAATCTGAAATGGAATTGTACAATAAAAATATGGGATTCTCATTTAAAATAACAAAGTTAGTGTTATTTCCCAGTTAGATGAGAGAGTTATGTATAAGACGATTTTTCGCTAATGTTAATCGTTTCCGAATTAAATTGGTGGATCGTAGAAGTTGATACATCCTGTCTGTATATTAAAAATCAAAAGCAAGCTCAATTTTGTTATACAATACATTGTTCGTTATATTTTTAGGGGTTAAAAAATCATATGAAAAGAGTTTTGAAATATCAGTTCACAATAACGACTAGCCATGAAATCACAAGAATGGTAACAATTAGAAAATCTGTGAAAAGTCAAATTTTGTTGTAATTACAATTTTTATTCGATTTTCGGGAGAAAACGAATACTGGAAGGTGTTTCAAAAATTAGGTCACATTTACAGCAAACAGAACCTAGACCCTTTAAAATAAAAATAAAAAAATTAAACAACCCGCAACAAGTTCAATTTAGTTGTAATTGCATTTTTTCGATTTTCAGGGGTTGAAAAAAATATTGCAAGGTTTTTGACAGATCGGGTCAAATTGACAATAAACTGCATCTAAACACCAAGTACGAATAAAAGAGTTAATAATTTTCAATTTTTTAAGGTTCATTTTTTCTTGTTTACTACTAATACTAGCATATTCACTGGATCTATTAGGAGATATCTGCCATTTAAGTTGCTTCATACATACAGTTTAGTAAAAGAAAAAAAATGTATGGGGGAAGGTGGAAAGAAGGACTTGAAACAAGTAAGATTTACCAATGTAAATAAGCTGAACAAATTCCATCGGTAATGCTATTTCATAGCGTATTACTTTTCAATTAAACTTGATTTTGATAGCAGTTGAGATTCTACTTAAATTAAATGTGAAAATTAAGTTAAATGTGTGGCTTAAGTATGAAAATGTAAATAGATACAATAATTTTTAAAAAGTGTAAAATTGAGTAATAGAATAAATTTTATCTATATATTTTAAGTCAGTATCCCCTCTGCACTTTAAGTAAAGATCAACTTAATTTTTTGACCATATTGAGCTAAATATATTAGAAATTTCTGTGACCTAAAGAAAAAATGGTCATCTCCTAATATTTTTCTAATATTTTCACATTTTTTGTGTCAGATGATTTCAATGTAAAACTTTAACACAAAAAAAAATTAAGTTGTGCATATGCAGTTTTCTTTTTGGTCTTGTGACAGTTAAAGTTTCTTTTGGCTTTTTTTGGTCCAGTTTGAACTCACGGTTGTCGGGTATGTCGTCGTGGAAGACTTCGGTGGCGTTGAAATCGACGGTGGCCAGAGCTGCCGGTATGAGGAGGTAGAGAAGAAACATAGTTGTGTCGCGTAACGCTCCTCCACCTAGACAAACTCAATTCCCTTCCACTTGGGTTCTTCGCGACCCCACCACAGACCCTATGTTACAAACTGGCCAAAACCCCATCTGCGGCCAACATCCTGCCGACCCGATGGTCCAAACGATGACTCGGCGGAAAAAACACCACCCTTGGAGGAAGTCGATTTAAAGGAGGAAGATCCAGAAAAGGATTCTGATCGAGTTGAAAGGAAAAAGCTTTAAAAAATTATGGTGTGTAACTAAAATGCAAGATTTATCGTTTTAGACAACAATGGAGAGACAAGAGTAAAATATCTCACCGCTTTTTAAAGTCCTTGATTAACTTACAGTAAATAAATTCCCTGGATCTCATCATTTAATTAGATTACTTTTGTTTGCAACTGCACTATCTCATCCTTTCGAATTTTTCTCACAATCTTTAAGATTTGTTCTTGCACTTTTAAAAAGCACAAACAAAATAAATGTTGCTTAAATTTAATTAGTCAGGTCCCCACTACAAATTCAATGAAGACGTTACACATCAACGAAAAGTTATATTTTATCACAATGTCATTCATTTTTTATAACTTCTTAATTAAGTAATTATAATGGATCTCATGGAAAGATTGTGTTCATTCACAAAGCTCAAAAAGGATATCATATTGTTCTAAAAAGTTCAATTCAAATTGACTTGGTCCAAGACCACTTAAATTTTAATAAAGACGTTACAAAAGCCTTAATCAAATCAATTTTTCTTGTCTCCTGGAATAATTAACTAATTTTCAGCTGCTCAATCTCACTCTTTTGCAAAATTAGTTTGCAGAATTTTGAAGTTTTTAAAAAATTCAAGAACAATCTTTTATGAAAGAACGAAGAGCATTGATAATAAAAACTGAAATCGGAAAACCGTTAAAATTCAACAATCATAGCTAACAATATTTTAAAGAGAACACAACACCCAGAAGCTGAGAAAGATTTTGGTTAGTATAAAAATACGGTAAAATTTAGAAACAATGTTTAGGTTTTTGCCAAAAAACTAATATTTTACTGTTAAAAAAATCTTAGCCATAAATTCGTACTGTACAAAGAAAAAACAAAAGAAGATTTTTCGGTAAGCAAATTGTAGCGATAAATGGGAACTTTTTGGTCTCTCTAAAATGTCTTAAATAACAAAATCTGGGACGATTATAGAGAGAGAGAGAGAGAGAGAGAGAGAGAGAGAGAGAGAGAGAGAGAGACAGACAAACAAAAGAAAGAAAAAAGAGAGAAGAGTGAAAAAATGTAAGAGAGAGAGAGAGAAAGAGAAGAGACAAAAGAGGGAGGAGAGATGGAAGAAAGAGAGAGAGAGAGAGTCAGAGAGGGAGAAAGATATAGAAAACTAAATGAGAGAGAAAGAACATGAAAGAAAAAGAGGGGGTAATAAAGTGGAAAAGAGAGAAAGATATACTAAAAATTAGAAAGATAGAAAGAGTTAAAGAGTAAAAGGGAGAAAGAGAATTGAATTGTTTGTCTTTGTTGTAAATTTGGCGGGTTCGAACGCAGGGCAGCTGGATTCGAACCCGGGACCTTTACCTTACAGTGATGAGCGCTGTGTCAACGCATAAACCGTTGCGGACACCGACGGCCCCAAATCGACGATTTGATTTTACACAAAGAAATGAATACAAAATAAACGAAAGGATTATGCAGATAGTTTTAACATTAATAAGTTTTACTAAACTTAATATGTAGTCTGTAATATACAATATATCGTACCTAATTTAATCGTAATATAAACAATTTCACTTTATAATAACCACAATTTAAATTTTAAATTTTTTTAATAAATATAAAATTTTTAAGTAGATTCATAAATAAAAAAATTAAAAAGTGAAAAATATGTAGTTATATAATAACCATTTAACAAGTGAATTAGTGAACGTATTGATCAAGAAGTAATTGGTCGAGAGAAAAAATATTAAATTTAAGTTAAAAACCAAAAACAACACGTAATAAACTAAGATTTATGTATGTAATGTAAAAGTATATATAAAAATAATGAAAAATATATAAGTAGATTATTAGGCACCGGAAATGATTATACATATTTTGAAATTGGTATTTCTTTTAATTTATTCTTGAATAATGTTTCATTTTTTAACTCTTTTATTGCTAATATATAAATTAATATATTGTTCGTGATTCATTTTGCTTTTTAGTACAAAAGATTTGCTAAATGATTTGTGTGTATGTGTGTGTGTGTGTGTGTTGTGTGAGAGAGACAGAGAGAGTGAGAGGGAGGGAGAGAGTTTGAGGGAGAGGGATTTGCATTTATTTATACGGTCGTTACCTCGTTATCACGTTTTTTCCTGATATTTGTTGACATAAATTGTCTTAAATAATAAATTCAGGGAGGATTGTTGTTGATATTCAACATGAATGACGACTAACGAAATTGAAACGTATTAAATTTTTTTTGTATAATAACAAAAATTTTCACTTTTTGTATTCATAAAACTAAAATTTCTCTAAAGTAAAATTATAAATTAAAATTAAAATTTTAACCATACAGACCAATCTTATTTCTTAAATCCTTTATTGTCCTCTACAATGATTAAAATTACTTGGATCCTCTGCTAACGCCGTGAATATTCAAACAACAAATCTATTATTTTTTGGTTACCATTATTCAAGGAGTAACAAAAACAATATTAGGCAATAATTTGTAATGCAAAAACAAGATCTAGACGCATATTAGCTCATGATCATAATAGGTAATCATTTTCAATCGGAATCGTTGAAGCATTTTGTAATTTTATAAACGATTTTAATACCAAACTTTAATTGTACGTTCTATCATTTAAGCAGCTAATCTGTGTTAGGATTTTATTTATTATTTTTCAGGAACGGATGTAATGAGATTAGAAAGGAAAAACCGTCTAATCGGTTGTTTCATTGTTCCCAACGATTTGGACAGTGGTGACAATTTCGTGAGCCTGTTCTCGCCGTTTCTCCTAAACAAAAATCACTTTCCAATCGAACCGTCATCAATAGCGATTATATCAATTGTTTTCCTTTCGTTTTTCTTCAAACCTTTTAAATATTGAAGGGGTATGGTTGAGGATCGGCTGTATGTTTGAACAAAATGGACTTTTATGACTTTCTCTTTTCTGACAGAGAAAAGTGGCAGTGAGTGAGTGATAGAGATAGATAGACAGATAAATACATAAAGAGATAGAGATAGATAGATAGATAGATAGATAGATAGATAGATAGATAGATAGAGAGATAGAGAGAGAGAGAGAGAGAGAGAGAGAGAGAGAGAGAGATTGTTGCATTTATTTAAAACATAAAATTTTTTGATTTTTTTAAAATAAGAAAATGATAAGCATTAGAAAGTTATATGTTAAAAAACGATCGGATATGAGACCATTTAGACATAAAACACTGTAAGAGAGAGCAAATAAAAAGCTAGAGAAGAGAGGGTGAGAAAGAGAATCTTAAAAGGAAGTACGAGAGATTTATTAATTTTTCGGGATATATTTCCTGGAAGGTTGACAAGTTATAGTGTTTTATGTCTAATTGGCCTCATATCCGATCGTTTTTTAACATATAACTTTCTCATGTTTATGATTTTTTTGTTTAAAAAAAAATCAAAATTGTTTTATGTTCTCTTTCTATCTTTCTCTCTCTATCTATCTATCTATCTATCTATCTATCTCTATCTCTATCTCTATCTATCTATCTCTTATCACAAGTTTGACTAGAAGTACGAGTGGAATCTAACGGTTATGAAATACTCAAATAAATTCCATTATTAAAAAATATATATACATTAACATAAATGAAAATGATTTGTTGCTTTTTAATTTTACGATGAATTGTGTATATCTTGTTGTACTAAGCTGCATTAAGCTATGTATTTTGATATGTCATGAAAATTTTGGTTGCAAACATTTCAATTACGGATGTATGAAACAGACTAATTTTCTAGTATAAACCGAAGCTTTCTATAATAGACGAAATGGTAAATCACCCCATGGATTCCATTTATTTCCAGATATTGGAAAGGGCTTACAAGGAGGCTTCTTTCCCACGGCGCGTTTCTTTCCTAGTTCGAAATTTGGATTAACACTAATAATTAGGCCGATTTTAGCTCAGGGTGAAAGTGCTTAGGTTTTAATCCTGCACATTTGAATATTTGCAACCTGACACAGTTATTTGCCGGTTTTTGAGAAATGTACTTTCTGGGTTTTCAGTTCTAAAAATAAATTTTAAAAAAATTAAAGAGGAACGTCCTGAATTGGGATGAATCATTTGAGAAAGACAGCATATCCGCTTTCGATAGTTTGGACTGGTATTTATTCTAATTTTTTGAGATTTAGGCAACGTTTTATGAGTGTCATAAATGGAAAAGTTCTCTCAAAAATACATTACCTTCGATCTATTGGAAAATTTTTAAAACCCACCGATGTCAGAATTGAGTTTGTAATTTTTTTGCTTTGCATATTGTGGGTTTGAAGAGGAAAACCACACGTGTTTTAAAGACTAGAATAAGGAAAATAATATCAAGCTTTCAAACAATTCAATTTATAAACGTTTTCCCGGACAACAGTCCTGTACCCTTGGGCCAGTTCAAAAAATAAAGGTTTAAAATTAATTTAATATTGTTGTGTTTTGTTCGTTAAAATAAAATTAATTATCGAAGTGTAAACTGTAGAAATATGCCAGTTATCAAGACGACATTATGAATTGTTATTAAACAAGCCAATTTGGCAGAAAATCGTTTGTCATTGTGGATTCTAGACTAAATACGAGAAAGAAAGACTTTCTTCATTTTAGGCATTTTTTCTTATTTGTTTTAAGAATGTTTTTTGATATATATTTTTTATTTCGGAATTTGGTATATTTATTAAATTTTGATGTCATGTTTTTGTACATTGTCCAAAAAAAACTGGTCGTTTAGTTTCTATGACAACTATTTAGTCGTTGTTACTTAAGATTACCTATCTAGAAACAAGTAGAAGGCTAAATATTTTGGACGTAGATCAAAAATAGATACTGGTACCTCTGAGG